GGGGGGGGGGGGATGCAGGCAGAGTCCCCAGGGATTGAGTCTACACAGCCTAAGATGAACTGTAATGCAGTTTCTGTGTTAGTGGGGGATGAGGAATGGGGAGTGTGTTTTCGTTATAAGAGATCCCTCCCGCAAACTGCTGTATATGTCAAGCAACAGGAATAGCTTCTATGAACAAAAGAAATCTGCTCTTCTCTGTAATAGTCCTGTGATGCATTTTAGTTCTGCCCTTGCTTCCCCATTCTCTTACCTACTGAGAAAAGAATGCTACCTGAAACTGTGAATTCCCAAAAAACAGTTATTTTCTTCACCAGTGATAATGGTCCCTTCTTCCTTTAAGACAATTTCTTTGTACTCCAAAAAGCAAAGTCGGTTCAAACAATTCTTTTTTCTGAGTTCTCATAGTAGGCCATGCTCAATATAGTCAAATAGCTTGTCATTAACCACAACTGATTAGTTATAAAGGGAAAGACAGTCTTCTTTCTTACTGGTTCTCCAATGACATTTAAATAGGAAAAGAAAAACCAAGCAACACGAATGTCTTGATTAAAGGGGCTGAGCCAGAACTAAGAGGCTGAAGGCAAAAGAACACTTGAATATAGAAGGAAAAACAATTTGCTCTGTGTGTGCAAGGGATCAGGAGGTTGAGAACTAAAGAAGCATGTCCACTTCACTAAAACGTCCTCTGGGTATCACCTACTTCAAAAGCACACAAAGATCACACCTCTTCTATTCATGAGATGAAACTGTATTTTCATGTGAAGGGACATGATCCAGAATCCTAGAGCATCCAGGACAACCTTAATATATACCACCCAAAGCTGCAAAGAGTTAAAAACACAAAAAGCTGGGCTGAAGGATGACCTACATGCACTAAGGATCAAGCTATACAGCCCAGATTAGCATCTCATGGCATGTACATTCTAGAGGAACACTGACAATTTAAAACCTTTGCCATCTGACAAGATACAAAACAGTAGAGCCGGGAAAGGGAAAATATCCAACCAAAAAAAATTAGTTTTAGTTGAAATAGCATAGAGGGTCAAAAATGTATACATAAAGTTCTAGGAGTCCTAAGAATTCTGAGAAATTATCAGGTAGTGTTATGAAGAAAGGAGACAAGTCAGTGAGTACTGTTGGGTCATAATACTTCAATAAAAAGAATGACATGATAGAAAAGAAAATGTATTGGTCTCTTTTGTCAAACCTCCCATGTTATTAAAGACACTCATCCCTTAATTCTGAAAAGCATTATTTATTAGAAACAAATATTCAAGGAAGTCTGCTGCGAGGCCAAATATGGTGCTCTTACCCCAAAAAAATATCTCACATTTGCTCACAAATTTTTACCCTGACTCTTGAAATCTTCTGGATTCCCTGGTCCAAGGTCACAGCCTACATTTACAAGGTATACAGTTCACAAAAGGCCCTGGAAGCAGCATGAAATATTGCTGCCCTACAGTTTCTTACTGACGGAGGGTAGCTAGAAAGTCAACAAATTGAGGTGCTTTACTGCACATCTTATTTTAACATCCAGTTCTTCAGTAAAGCCTCATGCAGTCCAGGAGGTAAGGTGTTTATATCTTATATAAAGTCAAACTTCCATGACATATTGGTTAACCAAAACCAATGGGTGATGCCAAGAAGCCTTTAAAGAATAATTATGCCAAAAGAAGAATCCACATAGTCAAGAGATGTTTTTCTCAGATAGACCTATTTAATCTTAGCAAGGGCAGCTGCTCTTCTTTCTGTGTTCTGGAACAAGGAACGAATTAAAGCTTTTACTTCACTAGAGGAAAATGCAGCCGCTAGAGGACCTTTTCCATCTGCCCATCTGCAAAACAAAAGATAAAATTTTATTTCATATTATGTGTCTGAAATATAAGCAAGATTTAACAACTGCTTATTTGATCCCAAATGTTTACTTTTTTAAATAGTCATCCTTGTTCCTCATGGGCCTCCCCTTCAATACCTTTGACCTGATCTGCCTATTACCTGCATTGGTATCAGCACAGATAGATGAAGAGACCAGGTTAGGAAGAGGAGGTCATTCTCCAATCCACACTCACTAAGCCCTGTCTGAACTTGAAAATTATGACCACATCCTCATGCCTTCTGCTCTACAACTACCTTAAACAACGAACCACAGGGAACACATAACTGACAAAGGACTGGTATGAAAAATAAAGAACTACCTTAAGTCAATAATGAAACAATAAGCAATCCAGTAAAATAAAGGGCAAAAAATATAAACAGGAATTTTGCAAAAGAAGAAATATGACCAAGGAAAAGATGCTCAACCTCATTAGAATTTGAGTAAATACAAGTTAAAATAACAACAAGCTACGATTTCACAGCAACTACATAAGCAAAAAATTTAACCTGATAATAGCAAATACTGATGAGACTACCATGCAACAGGATAAGTAAACTATTAAATATTTGTACAAGGGAATATAATACAGCAGTGAAAATGAACTGCAGCTATACAAATCACTATAAATGAATTTCAAAAACATACTGAACAAAAGAAGCAAGTTACAGAAGAGTTCATTTAATCAAAACAACAAGGCAATATCATCACACCCAGCATTAATAGCAAAGTTTAAAAAAAAAAATGTTGATGAGGGTTCATAGAGTAAGACTGGAACCCTCATACACTGCTGACTGTAAAATGGCACAATCACTGAGGTAAACGGTATGGCACTTCCTTAAAAAGTTGGAAATATAAATACTGTATGATCCAGCAATCCTACTATTAGGTATATGTTGTTGTTGTTATGTGCCGTCGAGTCAGCCCTGACTCATAGCGACCCCTCCTTGGGTTTCCGAGGCAGTATCACTACGGAAGTAGGATT